AGCTTCATACGTTGTTTCAGACCAAAGTCTTCCCGGGCTCTAAGTTTCGCGGTACCTAAACGCTTACAACATCAAACCCTAAAAGTCAAGGCTCCGTGGTATTGTGGCTTGCAAGCCCCCCAAACCTGATTATTTTTAGCCTTATTTCTACGACCAAATCATTCATTCTCAACCCAAAGAATAAATTTCAAAAATCGCCCAGAGACAATAGTCTCAGGCAACATTTTACCACTTTGTCTCCGATCCAACACAGTTCTGCCAAAAAGACGCATTGCCCCCACTTGTTTCTGGAAGCCTCAGGTTGGAGCATATTCTTTCCAAGACGTATAGTCAGCCATTTGCAAGCTGCTATAGAATGTGTTCCAACTGCAGCTAGACCGCCTCTGCCGCTATTTTCTCTCTGGCCGAAAAACCATGGAATGTTCAATCCAAACTAGTTGGCAGTGGTGGCATATATAGAAGCCGCTTTAGTTGCGTGAATATGTGCGAACAGCCACAACTATACCTAGATTTGACCTGGAAGACACTTGGAATAACGCTTTCTCTGTGGAAAACTTCTCACCACCATCGGCGCCCTATCCAAAGTCAGCTAGGTGGAAACAGTGGCCCTTCTTGCGTTTGAGAGTGTTGTCCTTCATGCGTTTGAACACGTCGAAGAAGCGGCCGCAAACAAACAGACCAGGAAACACTGCAACTCACTAAACGATCATGTTCAATGTGTGAATCGTTCCTTTTTTTAAAATACACCGACGTAGCGGGGCTTCAACGGAAGCTCTAAAAAACCGCCGTATGAGTAGACGCGTATGGCCGAGATGTAACGTTGCTTAGCTTCGTGAGGGTTTGTGAGCCAAAAAGCAAATCAAAAGGTCACCAAAAAGATAAACTAAAGGGGACTTGCGAACCTGCACAGGCTTTTATGTTATAAGGCTTCCTGGTAAACCCACCCACGAAGCTTGAAGATGTTGGTGTTTAAACCGACTGTAAGAACCCTAAACCAACTGTGAAGCCAGCTCACATCAGACCGAAGGAAAGCCAATAAATCTTTAGAAGGAGCCCTAATTAACCCTAAAGCAAGCCTGAAGTGAACCTTTGACATTTGAAAAACCATCTGCGCACATCGAGACTTAAATTTCTATGTTTAACATTATATATTTCTAGTATTATCTATCCTGAAAAATGACTGTAGGGTACATTGATTGGAACTGGTTCATCTTCAACAAATGTGTGTGAAGGGTAGATCCTCAGTGTATATTTTGTGTATATTCAAGGAGCCAATTACTTTGGGTTTCAATCTCGTTTGTCGCCCCGAAAGGTAACCTCCTCTCCGGAGCATGCTTTGCTCCGCGAAGACAATCATTTGTTTGTATGTAGAGAACAAATTTCTAATAAACTGCAAGAAGAAACATTTTCCACCTTTTCATTCTATTTCTTTTTCCCGCTTTCCTCTACGAGCACAAGGACAAGGCCTTCTTGCTGGCTGGCCTGGCGCAAGCCTACAACAAGATCAAGCAGCAGTGAGGGTTCTGGAGCCGAGTGCATTGCGCCCACCGTCGGTGCAGCAAGCAGTGGAGTGCGTCGTGGTGGCTGTTTCATTTCACCCTTGTCCACCATTTTGCAAAGTGTCATTTCACCTTTAGTCAACAGTGGTGCCAAGCATTCGAGACACGACTTCAACTCGAAGGCGAAGCAAGGCCAAGAGATGTCTTCTCGCTCTTGAAGCGGTGTACTTCTGGGGTGGGGTGGATGATCTCACTATACCTCGTATGATTTTGCGCTCAAGGGCCGCTATGGCTTGGCACCTTCAAGAATCCTTTTCTGATCGCTGGCAAGGAGCTTCCTTGCGGACCGCTGTGTTCCCGCTGCCAATCCCGTTTCCTGGAGTTTTCAATGGCAGTGGCCATGGGCTTAGCAAGCATCGACTGCGTATGCTGGTGCAGATGCGCTTGCTGCACCTCGTGGTGATCGCGCTGATGGAGTTGTATCTGGGCAGGTTTGCTAGCTTTGCTGAACTTGGAGGGAGGTCTCCTACAGCGCTTCAGCAAACAGTTTTTGGGAGGCTCTAGGGCTATATCGCAAGCATGCCCTATGCCCCTGGACGATCCGGCCCTGCAGGAGTTGATTGCACGCTTGGCTCGTCTTGAAGCTTTCATCATTGAGCGCCCAGAGTTTCAAGGGAGCTACCATCGTGACTTCACTACGCCGTTCACATCTCCTTGGTTGCCTTGTCAGGACTACCCTGAGTTGGAGCCGTACAAGCAGTTGAAGGCCGAGCGCCTATTGCTGAGGGGCACTCAAGGAGTATTTGGAGGGACCCGGCTGGGTATAGGGCACTGGCCATCAAATGGGACCGGCTTGGAGTCCGTCGCCTTTTTGATCACCCCCTTCGCGAAAGTCACTTTCGCAAGGTGTTCAACGCTCAAGAATGAAAAAGCGGGTGATCGTCGAATCCCCAACAGCAGAGAGCGAACGTCTGGGGAGCCTGCCTTTCTTCCTTCGGCAGTGCAGCTTTGTGTGATGTTGGCCCCAAGGTGGACGCACGCATGGTTTCAGATGCTCTATGACTGATCGTAGAGACTTCTATCACCAAGCAATTAAGTGTCAGCGCAAGTCGGGCTCGAACAAACATGACCCCTTTTTGCTTTGAGATTGAAGAGTTCGAGGGCGCGCGGGCTTTGGGGATATCAGTTTGGGAGGCGCTCATCATGGATGACTATTTTTTATGTCTTTGCAGCATGCCATATATGTGTAAGGAGAAGCCTGATGCTTTTTTGGGTGTTTGGCGACTGCTCGAGCAGCCCACGCAAAGCGCCAACTACCAGGATCACCGGAGAAAGACCTGAGCTTTTGGCGCGTGGCGTGAGGAGGAAACCTCAAATTCATTCGATTCGCTGTCCTGCGGACCCTGAGAAGATCTCGGATTGCCTTGTCCAGTACGGAAAAGAATTGCACCGACGAGGCTACCACAAGTTCTCGGAGGCCATCATGAATTCACCCTCTTCAGCGAAGAAGCAACTTGGGAGTCTTGTGGACATCATTCTTGTTCAATGCTTTCTGCGCTGCCCATCCTTTGGTGAAGAGACAGTCGACTCGAGCGTGGGGCTTGGTGTTTGCTTGGTTGCAGAATGAACCCCACTCTCATCACCCTACCAGCGAGCAGCTTTTGGCCATGTTGAGTACCGCCGAGGGAGGTGGCCATCATGGAGCGGGATATTGAGAGTGGGGGAAGTCCTAATCTTGCTGCTCCCGGGGCCACCTACATCTTGCTGAAGATCCACTTGCCAAAGACCGGCTAAAGGTGGGCAAAGTATCAGGCTGCAAGGGTAGATCAGGTCGATATGGTGAAGTTGGTTTCTTGCGTGTTCAAGCAAGTATACCACATGAAGCTCCACTTTGGCCAATGTTGGCTGGAACACAGCGGAAGCGTTTTGTTGGGGCTCCCCACACGTGAGAACGTGGTTCGCTCTATAAGGCTCCTCAGCGTGACAGAGAGTCCTGACTCGCGGCAGAAGACAGGCTATGAGGACTTGTGATTTTACTTGCAAGAGATTTCAGTGGCAACAGGTTTGAGTCGTCTCCAAGAACCTGCGCGAGAGAAGGCCCAGGTCATGGCAGCTGCTTTTCACCACCAAGAAAGCCGGCAACGATGGGAGAAAGTGGAAAGGCCCTGGAAAGCAGGGCCGACGTTGATGGCCACTTGCGAACAACGGAAAAGAGAGGCACTGTAAGTAGCGCCGACCCCATGTGAGCTGGCTCAGCTGGCCCTCCCGCCACGCCGCCACACCCTTTTGACGTGTCTTCTTGGTGGCGCTGGTGATGGAAACGTCCTGGAAAGCACGGCTGACGTTGGGTGATGCCCACTTGCGATCAGAAAAGTGAGGCGCTATATAGTTATTTAAGAACACAGAGGTAGAGCCAGAGCAAACCTAGACATTTGACCAGGTCACTGGACTTTTGCGTTCGTCTTTCTCAGCCTGTGACTGATGCAGCTGTCGGCCTCTCCGTTGGCGAATGGTCCTGCGGCCATCTCAGCAAGCATGCAAATCTCAACGAAATCTTGACAAACAACACAGGTTTAGTTTCCGGTAACGTGATGGCAAACCAAACCACGGAACCTGCGGACGGGTGCCTTTTGGCCTGCAAAGTACAGACTCTTTTCCTACAGCTCCAATTTCTAGGTTCTCCTTAGCTACTTGTGGGAGCATAGATTCTGCGCTAGGCCTTGTCCAGAAACCATGCAAATCTAGCACTAACAAAGACGTTTGCGTCAGTTGCGATATGCCGCTTGGACGCAGCAAGTACTTGCGAGATGGTGATCGCTGGTATTTTCCTCTTCTGAACTTGTTTGCTTGCGAGTACAAAATGCTTTGAGCCTATGTGTTTCAATTTCTTTGAAATTGTATTCAAAAACATACTTTCACTTAGGTGCTTTGGGGAGTGACTGCTTCAGCCGCCCCTATTTCTTCCAACATGCGTGAGACTAGTGAATAGTAGTTGGGCAAGTTCAAGGTCATATCACGTTGTTTCATATGCGTTAAATAGTTACCTGAGAAAAACATGATTGAAATCTGTTCGGTGACCATGACAATGCTTGTTTTACGGTTTTACGTGTCTTTATTTTCTTCACCGAAAGTGAAGAGGTGCGCAAGACTCGTGACAGCGAATGCCGAGTTCCAAACACGCGCCGAAATTATCCGAAATTGGCACTTGCTCCAGCGGAATTTGCGAACGCTTCACCACGGTGAAACACGTGTTTGTGATGTCAATGTGCTCCGTTTGCTGAAAGATTTCCGGCTTCAGCGGCACCAACAAAGCTGCAGACCACATTGCCGCAGTGAAATACTTTTTCGCATAAACACGACGCGTGACAAAGATATCAGATATCCAACTGACACAGTGAATGAAAGTGATCAGTCCCGGAGAATGGTTCAAAACAAACTAAACTCCCACAAAAGCTTGTTTGAGGCCACGCAGCAAGCAAACCCTAAGAAACACGACATCCAAATTTATTTGGGTTCTTTTACACAGCGCCAGTGCATTGTCCCAACAAGAACTGCAGTTCGTCTCTTAGCCTTTTCCATTCTGGACAAAGCAAGCACCGCTGTTTGACACAAGGGGCAGGAGATGCAGACTTATGCCCAGGCAAGAAGCGAACGAAAAAGCATGAGTGTTTTCACGTTTTCATCGATTTTGCGAAACAGGGCACAGAGATTTGGATCAAACATGAAGAAGAGGCGCGTGAATCGTTGAGGGCCTCAACATCACCTTCGAATCGCAAGTGTAATTCAAGCTGTTGTACTGTTGCGCACAACTGTTCAACAACTGTTGTGTTCGCCTGAACTTCCCATTTGCGTTGGAGGTATGGATCCAGGCCGAAATCGTCACAGCGAATGACAAGGAAATCATTGTGGATAGCTGAGAAAGAGACACACAAAGATCTAACAAAACTCAATAAGAGCCGACGAACGAACCGTTTTGAAAGTCAGAAAACAGAGAAGAAGAAAACGACACAGAACGGTGGCGAAGAAGAAAACGCACAGGGAGATGAAAACGTCAAGGGGAGACGAACACAGTGCTAACGAAGAGAAAGAAGATAATCGGCGTTCTCAACAAGTTTTCCGAAAAGATCTGACCAAACACGGCACTCCTTTTGTACGGACTCGATCGGAAGACTCTGTCAGAGGTTTACGTTGCAGTGGAGTCGGAATTTGCCGAGGTGAAAAGCAACGAAGATCCCAATAGCAGGATCGTCTTGGGACCTCATGAGCCGATTTTCCTCAGGAGATTCCGGGAAGCAAAGTGTGAACGAGACTTCGAGAGTCTTCAACGAAAGGAGACAATGAAGACGAAGAGACGAAATGACGAGAAAGACAGAAAGAAAAATAATTGAATATAGAAAGACAGACAACAAATTTATATACGAACCATTTTCCATAGGACTCAATGTACAGAAGTACAACATCATTAGCATCATGGTGTAGTTGATTGGATTGCATGTCACAGAGTTTTCACCCTGATGCAGCCCTTTTGTGTTTCATTCAATAAAGCGTATGGTAGCGGAGCTGAGAAGGAGGTAACCCCTCTGGAGCTCTGATTGAACAGCCCTAGGTCACTGGGATGGAGGAGATCAGAGCTAGCAACAGCATCAGCAGCTGAGGCAGTGAAGAAAGCAGTTGAAGACAAGACGTTAACACGAACAGATTTGTCATAATTGATAGCAACGCCCAATATCTTTGACTCTTTGACTACAAGCCACAGGATGAAGAGATCAAGGCATTCAGAGAATGGTCATTGGTCTTTGAGAAGTAGTTGAGTGCAGTTGATGAGGCCTACACGAAGGACCTGCAGAAAATTTGTGAGAAGCCAAATGAGCTTTGATTGTGACTTGGCAACAGCAGAGGAGAAGACCAGGTGACCAGGTGCATCAAGCTATATGGACTGTTAGCTTCATTGATGAGAGGAAGAGCGCTGCAATTGGTGAAAGCTGTGGAAGACTCCAATGGATTTGATGCCTGGAGGAGTTTGAACAAAGTTTTGAAACCAACTTCGAAGGCAAAAGGATTAGCGCTCTTGGGAGCAGCCACTACAATGGCCAGCATTTTCGATGAACAGCGCGCTACAACCTCAACTCTTGAAGCTTGAAGAAGTATTTGATGAGACGGTCAAGGCAGGGACTACAAGTCAGGAAGAGTTGAAATCAGCTATTCTTTTGAGATCTGAAGGTGGCCAATCTCAAGTCCTACTTGAACTTGACAATTGGTGACAACTCAAATTTGAGGGAAGATGTGTTGCATTTGGATAGATCTCGGCAGAAGCGGGCTACTTCCGCGGTGGCTAGTAGCAGTGCAGACTATCAAGGGCCTACGCCAATGGATGTTGATCGAATCCAAGATGCCAAAGGAAAAGGTAACAAGGGCAAGAATGACCATCAGAAAGGCAAAGGTAAAGATGCTAAGGGCAAAGGAAAGGAAAAGGAGATCAGAAAGGAAAAGAACGTGATCAGAGGAGCAATATTCGACAGGTAGCGAGTGATCCAGCCCATTCATCTTCAGAAGGAGCATCTGTGCCAACTCATTCAGTTGGTCGACGGCGTGCCAATGTGAGCCAACAAGGGAGCTCAGCAGAGACCAAGCCAGTGGTCAAGAGAGTTGCGAACAGTGAGACAGGCATCTTTGACTTGAGACAAGGAGATGATGAGCTTGAAGATCAGGGAGTTCGAGTAATTCACTTCTACATTGGAGATGATGATGAGGATGATGATGAGCCAGAGATCCAGGAAGTCGAGGAGATGTCAATCTCAATTTCAGATGATGAACCCATGGTGAGAAGACTTGGCGAAGAGAATGAGAATCATTATTGACCGTGAAGCTGATGTAGCGTTATTCCCTGTGAGCATGAGGAGAACTGTTGGTGCTTGCAGACATTCTCAGATTCAGACTGGAGTGGGAACAAAAGCCACAGAAAGTCAACATCAGGAGGATTCCATGCGTTGAATAGTTGTCCACTGTTCAACAGCAGCAGGATACAGAAGATCATTAGTCTATCTTCGTGTGAAGCAGAACTACACGCAATAGCTTCCTCAGCATCAGATGAAACCTATATCAGAGCAGTTCTGGAATTTGCTCTTGGGGCAAAGGTGGACAATTATATCTTCACAGATTCACCAAGTGCGCGCCAACTTGTGACAAAAATAGGAGTTGGGAAAGTGAGACGCTTAGATGGAAAGTTGCTATGGATTCAAAGCAGGAAAGAGTTCAAGATGGTTCAAGTGCCAACAGATGGCAACATAGCAGACCTCAACACAAAACCGCTTGGAAAACAGATGCTTGATGAACCTCATTGGTTACTGGCACAGTGAAGACCAAGTGAGAGTAGGAGAATATGAGAGAAGGGGATTTGAAGAAAAGAAGAATTTTGCAGGAAAGGTCAACAAGATTGCAAAGAATGCTTGTGGGAACGGTAGCACTGGAGGGCTTGCAGCCAATGGTTACAGAAGCAATCTTCAAAGAAGGAGACAATATCCAGTGTGGATTGGAAGACATGAGATTGGCGGAGATGAAGGAATCCAATTACAGCTGGGAATTTTGGACCATGGTGATTTTTGCAATCAACATCACTTTCTTTGCGGCATCAAACTTTGTGGTCCGGAAAATTGTCAGACGTCTTGAAAAGAAACCCCAAAAGGACAGTGATACGCCATGGGGTCATACAGAAAGACATTACTATGACAATTGGAGTTACACTGATTGGAAAGCAGACAACCTCGAGTTCGGGTTTACAGAACGAAAAACTCACATCTGGAATATGGAACAAGGTGTCAGCCGAATGGAGGTCGATGAGGAGAGAATCAATAATCTACTTAAACTACAGGAGTGTGGATTGATTCTAAAAGGAGGCTTTGGGCTTTGTTGAACATGAAGTACCAAATCTTCATACAACCATCCAGTATGATGTGCTAGGAGAGTTGAACGCAGGAAACTTCTTAGCCAGAAGGAGCACGGAGGATATGTTAGCAACAGATGGAGAATGTTGGGGACACAAAGTGATGTTGCAGGCAGCTACAGATGGAGCAATATCATCAGAAGGAAGATTGAACAGAAGATTTAGAATAGGCAACAGAGAAATATGAACCAGGCAACAATACATTTCTGCTCAGGCGCATCAAATGTGTGGTCGACTTCAAGCAAAGATTGAACAACTCTGTGAGGGATACTACAACCTCATCGGAAGAGGATTGCAAGAGGCAGCAGATATAGCTGAGAAATAAATTGAGAAGTATGAAGAACATTTGGATTGTGCATTTATGAGGAGAGACTGGACCCAGTTCCTGAGAGAAATGAGTAAAGCCTGGAAAGAGAAACGAGAAGTGAATGAGAGAAAATGGACTATGGTGGCAAAGCGAGCCCCAAAGATGCATTTTCGGGTCTCACATCGCCACGAAGGAGTGCAAACCATTTTCCATAGGAATCAACGTACAGAAGTATAACATCATCAGCATCATGGTGTAGTTGATTGGATTGCGCGTCACAGAGTTTCCACCCTGATGCAGCCCTTGTGCATTTGAAGGAATAGAACATATTATACATTGAATATTTGCATGAAATGGTTTTTCACCCGGTTTTGGGTTCGAAGAGACTGAAGAAGTCTCATTTGTCTCATTTGTCCAGGACGTCAGACGTTTTCACCAGTGAAGGTCTTTCAGTTCTGGATGACCTGTGACTCAGCTGAAAAACGGAAAAAAAGGGATGTTTTGCATGTGAAATTGCTGTTCACTGTGCTTTATGGGTCTTATGGAACCTAGAGTAGCTGGAGTGCTTTCGTGGCCAAACTTGATGTTTTTTTTGAGAAATCCCTGCGTAGTATACGCCCGTATTTTGTTTCTACTACAGTACTGTCCGTAGAGCAAAACCAATGTCGTTTCCTTTTTGCGTTGCACGGCGTTGCACGGCGCTCCGGGAGGTGCCAGCTCACTCACCTGCACGAACCTGCTGTGCCCGAGAATGAAAGGAGTTGTCATCGTTTTTTTTGTTTGAAACAAGTTGATGTGGACAGTTCGTTTTTGAAAAACAATGTTTTTGGAAAAACAGACGACAACATATGTCTTACAACATGTTTTTGGGACATGTTTGGACACAAAGATGTGGAACATGTTGGTTTGAAAGTGTGAAGATTTCATGCAAAACTTTGATGTCGCATAGTATTTCCCCAAGAGTACCGACCTTTGGAAAAGCAGCAACGTGAGGAGAACACTAGCGGAGAACTGGCATTCACAAGGACATGCACAAAACCCCACAGACAATGAGGTACATGTCTAACAAGGATCCTATGCCCTATGCTATCCTCATGCCGTTTTGCCTTTTCCCTGGCACTGCCTGGCACTGTGCGTGATGAGTTGCTTTCCTCACCTTGCTCTGCTTGCATACCCAAAATCATGCCAAACCAGCCTTCGTTGGGACATTGCTGTTTCCATTACAAGCTGGGCGATGGAGAGGACGCAAGCGGGACTGCGTAAGCCAATAGAATTGGTAGTGGGGACTTCCTAGTGAACCCATTTCGTTGAGATAAGGCATCTCTTGTATTGTCTGTGTCACCCCGTGTGTCGCACCGTATCATTCTAAACAAGGCAAACAGGTGTCGCAAAGTCGGCGAAAAGACGAAAGCGGAAACGGACGCGGAGTCGCAAAGACGGAGACTTCGCGCGAGACTTGTCAACTCGCCACTCACGGCCACTCGCTCGGCTTGGTTGGCTTGGTGTTCGTTTCTTTTACAAAAATACATATGCATGTAACTTGTAACTAATGCTGTTTGCCTCGGGTTGATGAGAGAAGCTCTGTGCCTTTGAAGTCTGACGCCGTGTTTAAATCACTTCTGCTTCTTCCTTGAAATAAACTGCTCCGTTTCAGGTACTAAGCTCCTTGCAGAATCGTTTTGACATTGACAAGATTTACACCTTCACCGGGCCCATCCTCATCGCGTCCAGAGTCACGGAGAGAAAGCGACGGAGAGTGAAAGGAGAAAGAAAATGCGAAGAAAACATGCAGTGAATGCACCGTATGAAAATACAGTCAATGCTGTCCGAGGCTGAATCCGTTCAAAGGAATTCCAAATTTGTACGACGAAGATGTGAGAGCCTCAGATCCGGAAGACGCGAAGAAGCGCGAAACAAGACGATTTGTTATTTGTTTCTGTTTCTTTCACTCGCTTTGAAGGTCTTGCGGAGCTTTATGTCGACCAAACCTTCCAGCAAACCGTGTTCCTCTGAGAACGAAGTCCAAGCGGAGACGTTTTGGACGTTTTGTCGTTTGAGGCATGTGTTCAATACCGCCAATGCGACCTATCGGGGCATTTGCGATCGAAAGAAAAGCCAGTCCAGCACTCAGAGATGAAACAGCTTGAAAGGTGGCAGTTTTGGTTTGTTCTTCTTGTGAGACATATGGGGACATGAACTAAGTTACAATGATACCCCGTCATCGTTTTCGATAAGCTGCCAATTCAGATCGGGCTCAATCGTTCAGTTTACGCCAAAGATGGCAATTCAGCGCCTAATTGGTTATTCAGCGCCTGAAAGAGGGAAGAGAGGACTTAGGAAGCGTCTCTGGTTTTTCGTTTCTTCGACCGAAAACGGGGCAACTTTATCGCATTCTGTTGCCGTTGCCGAGCAATTGGACGCTCCGAGCGACGGGACGGAGAGCTCGCGCGCGATTTTAGATGGTCCACGTTGGTTAAATCAGTTTCTGAACAAATTGAATTCAAATTAAATCATGGACTCCGTGCCAGTCGGCGTACCGTTCGATCCAAACATCCGCATTTCGCCTCGGTCGACCAACTGCACTCGTTTTCGACAACACGCTTACCGGGTAAGAATCAACCACGCCACAGTCCAGTGACCCGTGCGGGGCAGGTCAAAACATGTCTTAAATGTATGTTCTGAGAAGGGGTGATGTAATATTATGATATAATTGTTGTCGCCAAATATCCAAACATATAACATAAATCATTTAAGGTTATACCATTCTTAGATGTCTTTGACGTTTTTTGTTATTTTATGCTCAGCAAGTTTTGCATAACACAAGGAACAATTACAAACAGAGCAGGTGACGGTTCTTCTACCTCTTTCCTTGCCGCCTTCTAGTTTCTGTTTTTTCTTGTCCACATCATTTGATAGTTGTTTTCTTTGTTGCTCTATATTTTTATTTTTGTGTATCACAATGAGCTCTTCTATATTCAAAACAATTCCTACAGGTTTTCAGTCCTTTGTCAAAATCATCAATGGGAAGTTCATCAACACAAAATCCACAGAGTCTTATTTTCCTTTAATTGTTAATCGTAGTAAATCCTCGAGTATATGTCTCAAGAATTGCCATAAAACATTAAAGTATTGTTCCCCCAAAACCATCAATTCATACATAGTTGAACGTACATTTTTCCCATTCAGCTACTAATCATATAACAAAGAACAAAACATACATCTAATGAGGTAAACTACTTATGAGGTTTATGGGTTAACCATCACAACCATCATCAAATTCCTCCTGTCAAGTGTTTCCAACACTTCTCATGAAAGCATGAGGTTGCATCATAGACACCATCACACATGACCGCAGTGTGGTGGGACCTCGAGCCGTGACCAAAAGGCTGCGTCGCCCTAACCCCCAGCTTCGGCTGGGATCGGTCGCGAACGACCGCGCGGTTGCCATAGTGTGTGGGGAACTTTGTGAGTCCACCACTTGCTACCTGTTGCCTCCTAAATTTCATATCTACTAAATGGCCGTGATCATAAACTCAATCAATCACATATATGACATTTGTAGTCAGTTTGATAGAAAACAAATAGTATTGCATTGTTAACAGTGTCGTGTTGTAAATGTCTGATACGATAGACACGGTTATGAAAAATCCTTGCGCTTGAAAAACGGTTTTCTGTGAAGAATTACCGGTAGAGATCACAGTGCATGTCATTGACTTTTTCACCCGCAGGCCGCTTTTGGATTGAGAGGAAACAGTTCATATGGTAGCGGAGCAAGGATAAGGGAACCCCCCTTTGAGCTCCAGAGAAAAGCCCCCAGGCCCCGTACATCACTGGGATCCGGCAAGCATCTGAGCCATAGATTTGGGGCCTTTTGAACCCAAACTGCTGACCTGTTGATACTGCACTCTGCAATTACACCGTGTTTCTGACAATGGGTGGGATAAAACGATTCCTGGAACTGGTTGCAAGAAGTACGCAAGCATCAGCAACAGCAGCAGAGGCAGTGAAGAAAGTAGTTGAAGACAAGAAGACGAACACAACGGATTGGTCAAAGCTGATCACAAAGCCTAACTCATTTTGAGCACAAACCTCAGGAGGAAGAGATCCAAGCGTTCACAAAGTGGTCACGTGTATTGGAGAAGTATCTAAGTTCATCGGATGAGACTTACATTTGGGACTTGAAAGAGATTCATGACAAGCCAAATGACAGCTTCGATATGGGCTTGGCAGAGAAAGAAGAGAAGACCAGATGCGTCAAGCTGTATGGATTGCTAGCTTCGTTGACGAGGGGCAGGGCACTACAGTTGGCTGAAGTTGTGGAGGACTCCAGTGGGTTTGATGCCTGGAGAACAGAGATTTGAAACGTACTTCAAAAGCCAGAGGATTAGCGCTCTTGGGAGCAGCCACTACATGGCCAGCATTTTCTATGAACAGTGCTCTGCAGCCTCAGCTTCTCAAGCTCGAAGAGGTATTTGAGGAGACGGGCAAGTCAGAGACAGCAATTCAAGAATGTGTGGGTGAACAGCTCAAATCTTGCTTGAATTTGACAATTGGCGGCAATGTTCAATACCTAATTTTGAAGGAGCAAGTGTTGCTATGGGACCGTTCCCAAAAGAAGTGGGCTACTTCAATGGTTGCAAGTAGCAGTGTAGTAGACTGTCAAGGACCTATGCCCATGGACGTTGATACAGTTCCAGGTGCCAAAGGAAAGGGCTACCAGAAGGGCGAGGGCAGAGACGCCAAAGGGAAATGAAAGAAAGGAAAAGGAGAACGACAAAAGGGAAAGGAAGGTGGTTACAAGGGCAACGGCGAGGGCAAAGACCAGAAAGGAAAAGGTGTGGGGAACTGTTACACCTGTGGGAAGCCAGGACATTTTGCTCGAGACTGTTGGAGAAACAATATGTTGCAAGTGAACCAGCCAATTCGTCTTCACAAGAGGTTCAGTGACTACGCATACAGTTGCTCAACAACAAGCCACTGTGATTCAACAGAGCAGTTCAGCCGAGACCAAACCAGTTGTCAGAAGGGTTGAGAACAATGAGCCAATCAGTTTTTTACCTACGAGAGAGGCACGATGATTCAGAATCTCATGCAACTCGAATTATTCATTTCTACGTTGGAGATGACGATGATGAGCCACGGAAAGAAAGAAGGAGCACGGAAGTTGAAAGTCAGACACCCAAGGTAGGAAGACTTGGAGAAGGGAGAGATGATGTGGCCATCATTGTCGACTCGACAGTGGAGCTGATGTAGCTTTATGCCCTTTTGAACGTGGCAGATCATGGAGAAGAGTTCAATGCAACCAAACTATAAGATGCCCAGGGGAATCGTATCCCCGCCGGGGGTATGAAGGGTGTCGAAATCTCCTTGCGTGAAAATGATGGACATGAAGTTCTTCCTCAGAGAATGTGATCTTCAGTTCAAAAGTGAATCAGCCCATACTTTGTTATGGAAGACTGATGGAACATGGTTGGGGAACCAATGCTCGTGAGCAAATATTGGAGAATGGTGATTTGAAGGTACCACGGCAAAGTGATACAAGATGGCAAGTTGCTGTGGGTTCAAAGCCGAAAAGATTCAATATAGTGCGAGCTCCAACAGAGAGCAACATCGCAGACATCAATACCAAACCACTTGGAGAGGCCAGAGGATCAGATTTCTGATGGACCTCATTGGTGACTGGCGCGACGAAGAGCAAACGAGAGCTGGTGAGCTTGAGAGAAAGGCGTATGAAGAGAGAAAGAACTTTGCAGGCAAGGTCAACAAAATTGCCAAGATGATTGTCAGAATTCTGACTTTTGAGGGCTTGTAGCCAATGGCTACAGTAGGAGTTGACCAGTGGGAAAAGGTTTTTTTGTTGTGGTTAGTGGCTGAATGAAGTTTCGGCTTCGTGGATTCTCTGTTTTTTCAGGGATCCTAGGTTGAGGCTTAGCATCCTTCGCTGTCGTGCATGGTTGACAGCTGGGTGCGACCCGCAGCGCTTGCCCTTTTCTTGGTGATCTGCACACACGGCCAAGAGACCGGAACCTTCCTGGCACAAGAACAGGCGGAAACGCCGTGCGCGTGCCAGAACCCGCTTGCATCGCAAGGGATCCAGATTCACTCACCTGGATCTGAAAGCCGCTTCGTTGTTGAACCGCCACCACGGCAGCAAGATGCCGCAGACTATGGTGAATGGTGCAGCATGGAGATGCGAATGCGGCTCGGTGCAACTCCAGCGTCACAGCTGGTGCGCGGGATGTGGAACCCACTTCTCCTCTACGAGCTGGAGTGTGGTGGGGGCCAGGGGCCGATCCAAGTCTGCACGCGCAAAGCAGGCCAAGGTCGAAGTGGACAAGAACAAGAACAAGAACAAGGGCAAGCCCAAAGAATCGGGGGCCACTTTGTCACCTTTTGTGGACTCCCCGCAGAAGAGTGCGCCATGGAAGCCAGGCACGCCATCTACCAGGCTGCCAGTGGATCTAGTGACGGAAGAGCAGGACAAGGAGACGGTGAAGGCAGCTGGCCAGCAGATGGTGATCCCGGGAGGTGCGACAGCATCTACGGAGGGGGACACCGAAGTGCTACAGCCAGAGGTCAAGGACAGATTCACCGAGCTCCTTCACCTGATGGGGGATTCCGCACCAGAGACCTTGAAGATGGAGGTGCAAAAGTTCCTGGCGCCAGAATCATGCAAGAAGCTGCGACATCAAGATCTCTCCAAGGCAGACAAGTTGGAGCGACAGATTGCTGCAGCCAGGAAAGAAGTAGACTTGCTGGACTCGCGATGGAGAGAGTTTGTCACGCTCATCCAGACGAAATTCGAGCACCAGAGGCAAGGCTATATTCAGCAGCGCGAGAACCAGCTCCAAACACTCGACAAAAAGATGAAGGAGCTGGAAAGCTTGCGAGAAGAGATACGTCGCAGTGCGGCCAATGTCAAGAGCACCGAAGCGGCGGTCAAGCCAATGAGTCAGGTGACACAAGAATCTGGCGCAGAGGCAGAGATTTTCCAGATGGACGTGGACAAGCTCAACAAGCGCAATGCCATGTGTCCGTTCGGGCAACCCTCCAAGGTTCCGAAGCTGGATGGACAGGGGAAGAAGGTGCCAGAAGACCTGGACGACAAGCTGTAAAGC